ATTTGGAGCATCCCCTCAACAATAAGGGTCTATAGTTCAAGGCTCAAATTAAATTAGGAACACAAGAAATACTCTCTAAAAATATAAGCTTTAATGAAAAGTCTACTGTATGACCTAACATTATTATAGGAATCCAAACTGTTATTCCCCTGAAATTCTCCAAATGGACCTTAACATATCTAAAATTTGTGCTTTTTCTACCTTCCACCTAGCCTACTTATTACTCAAGAGTTAGTTCAGGTCCTATCCTCCAGTAAGCATTGCCAGTCTGAGTCTTAACTCATCTGAGTGTGTCAATGTACACTCCTGTTAAAGCACTTGTCACATCGTTTAACAATGAACTATTGAATTGTCCAGTTCATGTAACAAACTCTAAACTTATTGAAAGTAGGAAACATAGCATATTTATCACTGTATCCTCAGAGCTTGGAACACAGACACCATTCAGTAGAAGTTTTCTGATATTAGTGAATATAAAACTTTAGTTAAGAAATACTTATAGAACAAAATTGAAAAGTTAAAGACTTCTTGCAAGACTAAGAAAGTCTTGAAAACAGGAAGAAGTATTATACAACACTAAACTGGAAATTGAGAAAAAACAAAGTTAACTAATAAAATTAAGTCCAAGTACTAGAAGCTGTGTGTCACAACAGGGGTTTTCCACTTTACCTCCAAGACATTAGAAAAACAAGAAAAAAAGATTTATCTTTGGCAGCCATGAAATTACTTAATGAAAATTGTATGATTTTTAAATAGTAATTGAGGGCAAAGTATTTCAACATTGGACATCTTCACAGTTCTATAAACAGAAGATAGACATGCCAAAATAATTTATAAACATCTTTCAGGTTTATTTCACAAAGAGATCAATATTATACCCTCTTTTAAGGTCTCCTGTAATGGTTTAGCTACAAGCAATATGTTCATTCTTTCCCATAAAAGAATCCTTACCTTTTGCAGCATGTACTACTTTTTGCAATCAGTTCTGATCTTTACAGAAGTTGGAATAAGATATGTAGTGTGAAATCTAATTAGTTTTCTTTTAAATGTTGATAATGGAAACTGTATTACTTTCTCAAGAAGCACATATGTTACCAACATTGCAAAAGCTTAAGGGTCTTTTGGTAATCAGAGAGTATGCTTTTATGTGTTTGAACTTTGTTTGCTGAATTAAAGATGCTGTACTATAATTTAGGAACTGGGGGGTAAGCACCAAACAAAATCATAATGAACATTAGTTTATCTTAAAATAATACAACTACATATTTTAGAATGTAAAACAGTTTCTCAGACTTATGCCATGTTCCTTTCAACCTGTACTGCTCAACAAGCACTTTTCAGAACACTCTATATCACATTCAAGCATATCACAGGTCACTTGTAATTTAGAAATTTTTCAGAAATTTAAAAGTCAGTTTTGGACAGGAAGGTAGAAAAATAAAAATTTAACTACTATATCAACAGAGAAAATATTTCAAAAAAGATCTACAGGGCAGAACTTTGATGCAGTGTAACAAGTAAATGAAACAATTCAGAAGACAGACTAAGCAGTTAAAACAGGGAATACAAGGATAATAGATGCTATGTGTCCATAATTTAGTCTATGAAAGATTTAGCCTTAAATTATGTCTCGTGTTTAACATATAATGCATAAAATAAAGTCTACCAATAAGCAAAAATATAACCAACTTAATATTTGCAGTATTCATTTCTCAAGCATCACATAAGAGTACTTAAAATGTATCACTCTACTGTTAAATTACAGACAATTTCTTTCTAATTCACCTATTAAGAAAATTTACCAATTCTCTACTATTCTTATTAGGAAATGTCATTTTATATCTAAAGTCCCTTAATTTGTATTTAATAAACAAGTTCAAGAATTCTTTCAAGTCAAGTTATAAACCTCAGAACTCAATGAAGGATATGACAGTTAACTTTTTTTTTTTAGTTTTGGGTTTTATCTTGTTTTAAGCATAAATTTTATGCTTTTTCATAGGATATATGAATGACATAGTAAACTGAATTCTAAAGATATTCTTTCATTTAATTTGCAGTCTTCAAAAATATAAATCCTTATATCTACACATAGTTTGGAGTATATTTTTACTCAAAAACAGATTATTTTCATATTTAAATATCTTCTTACAAAAAAATCTAAAATTTACTTATTTAATGAATACAAGTCTTCTAGAAACATTAAATTATACAATAATATTGATAATCTAGCATATTTTCAAAACAAATACGATTGTAACTTAACTACCTGTATAATAAGGAATCCTAATTTTATTCGCCCTTCTCCCACAAGCCACATGGGTAAGCCAAGGTAAAAATATACCAGTGGCTATCCAGAAGCCATCTTTGGGAGTATTCCATATTAAATTCTACTCTATGCCTCTCTCATGTGGGAGGAAAAAACCCATTCTGCCCTGTCCCAAGTGACAAAAGAAACAGTAATATTTTAAAAGCATAATCCCAGCAAGTTTAACCAAGGAATTTATAATTTTTATGTTCCTATTTAAACATGAAATGTTTCAAATTTCTGACCCGCTTGTAGTTCACAAGTTCATGTATGATACTTGCAACAATTCCCCAAAAAAATCCAGCTCTGACAACTTTCTGAATATGGTAGTATTCAGTAGTTAAAAACCTAAAAATTAATCCCGCTGCAAGCTATTAACTTATATCTTAAGTTTAAGATATAAAATGTATATGTTATATTACATATACATCTTATGTTATATGTTATGTTACATATACATCTTATGTTAAGATGTATATCTTAACATTACTCTTTAATCCATAACAATTTATAACAAGAGAAAAATTTAAAAACTTGAAAATTACAATAAGGAGAGATCAGAAAACAAATGCCAACTTGAAATAAATGTAGTTGTTTCCTCAAAAACTGATCAAGCACCTTGGGAAAACATAGTACCCTTAGAGACAGGCCATATAAATAACCTGAAATCAAGATTTCAAATGTAGTTTTTTATATGTTAGCTTTACATGACATTTAAGCCATCTGAAAGTTACAAACCTTAGACAAAGCCTTTGTTTTTGTCTGAGATCTATTTTTCAAATGCATATTCATAATTATATAAAATTTTACAGTGTATTTTATGTCCAAATAAGGATAAAAGACTTATCATATTCCATCTTAAGTTCCATATGTGGAGAATGGTCATTTACATACTTCTAAAAATTCTTGTCACTGTCACATAGAAAAACATCAGCATTTGATAAATTCAAACTATAAATATAAGCTTACTCAATGTTACAAATTATATACAATAGCTAAGTCTCTTCAAAAACATAGTAACAAACAGTTACAAGGACAAGGGCATCACATGGAGGGGTGAAGGTAGAGATTAGCACACTAATAAACCGAGGTCTTTAAAACAACTTACTTTCAATATTGATGCTACAATTTAGATACAAAAACACTTGGTTACACAAGCCTAAGGTGGGATTCTGAAAAACCTAACAAAAAATAAGTTTTTGATACAGTAATCTTTGAGTAGATGCTAGATGCTCCTGACATCTATGAAGAGAATACAAAAATTACACAGGTGTAAACCTAGAGGCAGTTAGCTATCCCGCTGGAGGCAAATACTATACAGCCCACATCTGCAAACTAATTTTGCTTCAGCATCCCCAGAGACTTCGAAAATGTTTCTCTGGGTAGGTTGCAAAACAGTGCTTCCTCTTTTATTCTCATCACCCCCATTATGTTACAAAGCAACAGATAGACAAGAAAATCAAATCGCCAACTGTAAGGGCTGAAAGCTTAAACACACACACACACAAAGCATCTTCTTTGCAACTCCCCCAAACGGTATTCATTCCACCTGTTTGTAAATCCATAGTTCCACAATAATTCAAACCCTCTGCTGATGAAAGAAAAGGAAAGGAAAGAAAGAAGAGAAAGAAAAGCAAATTAATGCTTTGGAGTCATTATTCTTCTACCTAGGCACGGGGAGGAGGGGGATGGTACAAAACAATGGATGCTAAGGGGCTGTGGGGGAAAATCCCGTTTTGCCCCGAAGCCTCTTGCGTTTCGAGCTTGGCGGGGGAGAGTTAGAATACTTTTCCTCTAGCCCTCAAAGGTATGCTATCACGGAGAGAGGTTGCCATTAGGCATGTTCGACAAGGCGGTCTCGAAAGCCTGCAACTCGCTTTACCAAGCAACACACCCAAAGCCGATTCACCACTCCTCACCGAAGGTCTTTAGGGAGAGGACGGGAGAGCGCGGCGGGCTTCGGGGCGGGGGCGAGGAAAGACCCCACCCTGTACCACCACCTCTGCCCCTGGGCCCTCGCCGACCGTTTACTCGACCCCGGGCGCCCGCAGCCTGGGCCCGCCGCCCCGGGAGCCGAGCGAGGCAGGACGGTCCGCCGGGCGTCCCCAGCCCGCGCCCTCGCGCCGGCTCGCCCTCGCCCAGGCGCTGTCCCGGCCGCCGCCGCCGCCGCAGGCCCACCCGGACGCTGTCAGAGCCGGCCGACTGCCTCCCGGCGCCCGGCGGCGGGCCCCCAGGCGAGCCGGCTCCGAGGGCCCGGCACTCCCGCGACAGCACCCAGGAAAGCGGCGGCCGCGGCGCCTCCCAGGGCCCCGGCCCCTCGGGCCTCGCCCCGGCCCCGCCGACTCGCGCCTGTCAGGGCGCGCGGGGCCTCCCCCTGCCGACAGCCAGCTCGACTGCCCGACGGACAGGAAGGCAGGCAGGAAGCACCGGCCAACAGACACCCTCCGCCTCATCGGCCCGTGGTTACCGTCAGGAGCCCCGACTCCGCCATCCTCCTCGCTCGCCCTCCTTCCTCCTCCTCCTAAGAAGCGACGCTGCCCAACCGCCGCCCCCCGCCCTGCCCGCCCCTCCACACACTCTCGCTCCGACGCCCCGCCCCACCCCTCCGGCGTGGGCCCGTCACTCGCCGGGGAAGGAAAAATAGGCGGAGACAGAGCTAGCGAAGCTGGCCAATCAGAGCGAGACACTGGCGCCAGCTTCCCTCTCTCCGCCCTTATCCTTTCCTCCGCTCCTCTACGCCGTCTCCCGCCCACTGGGCGCCGCTGGCTAGCCGGGCCACAGAGTAGGCTTCTGGCAGGGTAGAGCGACAACTCCCAGTCGGAAGTTACTGTTGAAGTTAAGGCAGCCATAACTGAAAATGGCAAGGAGTTTCCTGGCTTCCTGTTTCCAGAGTGACGTAGGTTTTTCCTTCGCCCAATCTCACTGTTACCCCGGGCAACGTCTCAGAAGGGATGCTTCTGTAAGTAGTCCCAAAGAGGTACCATAGGTGACCAGACATCCCATGGCCAATTAGTAAATTAACTCATACTCTAGATTACTGGTTCGGCTTCCTGACCCTTATTTTGCTGAGACGTCTGGTCACTTACCTAGGAGGACAACAGTTTAGGGCTCCGAAAATCCCTCTCCTGCCCGGAAGTTGCATTTGGCACTTCCGAATGGGGTCACGGCTGACGAGTGGGAATAGCCTCCGCCGCCCGCGCCCCAGGGGGTGCCCATTCTTGACCGGAGTTGCAAATTGAGGTGAGTGTCCCTCGGCCCCCAGCCGTAGGGCAGGCCTGGGCCGGATGATCCCTAGAGGACGGAGCGCTGAGCGAGTTGGGCCGCTTCCGCTGGGAGAAGGTTTTCTTTCCGGGCTGGCCAGGCTGCGGCCCGCCCCTCTGAGGCTCCCGGTGGGGCGAGGCCGCTCGACTAGCCGCCCTAGCCCCGCCGGGGCCAACCGGGAGGGCCCGAGCTGGGAATGGGCGCGGACCTCCGGGCGGAGCCCCTAGTTCCAGCAAAATGGAGCTCCTGACAATGCCTCTGCAAGTTCCTATTAAGTACTTTCACTCCCTGACCTTTGGAGGATGGAGAATTAGGGAGCTTGAGGAAATAATTTCCCACCTTCAGCTATAAACGAAAAAGATAATCCCTTACCACTGCGGCAAGACCTCTAAGTCTTATTTCCCCTCCACTTGTTTTCTTATTCTGATTTTTCTCCCCTTTCCTTTTATCTCCTTTCTTGAGTCTTTGTAAGCTTTGACTGCAGTTCTGGTTTGGGGGTATACTGTCCTAATCCTGAGTGTCTACGGTTTAGTAAACAACTTGTGAATATTTGTAAAAATACCATATTACTTTTACATGGCTCTTTACAAGGTTATCACACATTATCTTATAGTTCTTTCTGTAGGCTTGAGTCAAGAACTCTCAGTCACCTTGGTAATACCCGGTTGGATGCCTAAACCTGTAGGAAAAACATCAGAACTTTCAGGTAAATTAAATATCGTTTATACCCAGCCAGTTAACAAGAAGGGTGCAAGCCTACCTTCTTTACTTAAGTTCTATCTACTTCCCTAGTACTCATGCTCCAGCCAAAATGAACTACTCTTCGGGGATTAATCACTGAAGTCTGTTGTAGCACCAACATTTTGTGATTCTGTATCTATGATTCTGTTATCCTTGGAGCTGTATTTCCAGATTCTCCCCAGCAAGAAGTAATTTCCTAAGAGTTTAGCTCTTTTAGTACCTCTTATATGACAATCACTAGTTTGTATGACAGCTGCTTGTGTTTTTAGCTGTACTACCATATTTACACCTAAATAGAATGCTTTGTTTCAGAGTCATTTGCTATTATTTCACTCTACACGATATTATTATTGGTAAATACTTATTGAAAGATTGAATATATTGGATGTCTCTTGGATGCCCAAGACACTGCCAGCCAAATGTTATGGACCTTCAGTTTATCAGAAATTCAGCATAGTCCCTGCTACTCAATCTTTTCTTAGGTTTCCCCTCTTAAGTCTTTCTAACATTTTTTCCCCCAAATGTTTTACTATAAAATTGTTCATACATTAAAAACCTGAAAGAATATAATGAACATTCATATACCCTTCACCTGTATCCAACAGTTGTTAACATTTTGAACATTTTGCCATATTTATTTCATCTTTCCTCATGTACCTTTTCATTGTCATTGAACCATTTGGAAAAAAGTTGCAGACACATACTGTTAGTCAGACACCCCTAAGATTTCCGATATGAATTTCCTAAGAATTTTAAGTTCTCCTACAAAACATATTATTACAGCCAAGAAAATTAATAATTCTGAAATATTTGAAATCTAGTCCATGTGCAAATTTTCCTGACTCAAGAATATCTCTTATACCTCTCCTCGACCCCTCTTCCCCCCAAAATTAGGATCCAAGGTTTATGTCAAGGTTTATGTATTGTATTTGAGTATTATAACTTTTCAGCCTTAATCTAGAACAGTTCCCCCATCTTCTTTTTTCCCCCTATGACATTGGCATTTTTGAAGAGTTCAAGCTAGGAGTCTTTTTGGAAAATGGGGGCCCCTTTTTTGTTGTTTATTGTAAACCATAAGTTAGTCTAGAGGCTTGATCAGATTAACTTTTAACATTTTTGCAAGAATACTTCACAGTATTCATACTTTCCCATTCACGACTAAGCCTTTTCAAATACAACTACATGTACCTTTGCCTTGAGTTGCTAGTTAAATCCATCCCACTTTCAGCATTCTCACCCCTCTATGGTGTCCTACAAAGAAGAGTTTAGCATTTAATCCTCTTGTGTGTATAGAATATGTGTTAGTGCCCTGGACTGGCAGCATAGACTGCCTACCTTTAATAAAGTGTTGCGGCTACTTTGCCTGTTCTTAGAGCTGATGCAATGTAATCTGTAGCAAAGTGTACTGATGTCAGCATAGTTTCATGAGTTTCAACTCCTGGCACCTTGCAGACTGTTGTTGAAAGATGTGTGGGCCCTGCAGTTCAAATACAGATGAATCTTGATGTTATCAAAGCAGATGCCTAGGCAACTGTTGGCCATCTGGCCGAATTCCAATTTAGGCAATTGTTATTTTTCTCCCTGAAATTCTCTTACAAGTCCTAATTGGTCCTAGTGTTTTTGTGATAGCTTTTTGGTAGCATTAAGCAGAGCCTATTAAAAATTGCAAAATCAAGATGATACTTACCACTTAGTACATTAAGAATATGGATAAAGAAGTGTGTATGGAATTTACTTTGTAATCATGAAAGGAAAACTCTCAAGACTGCCAAACTCATGTACTCCTCTTAGCCTACATTACTGACCTCATGGTTCTTGGTCCCCAAATCAATAGAATTGGCACAAAACCGAAAAAGGAACTTATATAGGCAAGGTTTTGTGGGGTGGGAGGACAGAGGGTGTAGGCTTTTGCTCCAACAAAAGTGAGACAGTGCTGGTTAAGAAGCAACCAGACTGGCTCTTTGAACAAAGTGCCAGGGAACTTTTTAAAGAGAAAGTTTGACACTAGCATTGAAATCATAACATGTAGAGTTGGAGTTTTGTTGGCAGCTGCCCATCCCATGATCATGCTTCTTCATATATCACATCTCATTAGCATGTTAAATCTCCACCCTTGAGTGTGATTTTTAGCATTAAAATGAAGCAAAAGGTCTATGAACTGTCAACTTTGGCCTTCATCTTGGCAGTAACTGGTTTGTGCTGGCTTTGACTGGGTGCAGTGGACTCCTGCTCCAATGGTTGCCATGTCCCATTAAAGAAAACTACCTTCTGTTGAAGTTGGGTGTTAATCATTTTCAGAGCTTTTGCTCAGTATTGTAAGCAGACTTAAGCTTTGGCTCACAGCTCAGGCAGGGTAGCCAGAGTCCACCTCCTATACACTCACCTAGACTTAATATTTGATCACGAAAGATAAGTGAAAGGAAGAAAATGCACTTAAGAGAGCAGAAAAAAATGCTCTCAGAGGGCAGAATCTCTTAGATTGGTATAGAATGTTTTTAACTAAACATACTAAAAGTTAAATAATATACTCCATCAGTTAATTCCTTTGTGTAAATATTTGCTGATGTGGGACTATGAAACAATTTTAAGTTGACTCCTGATTCAAGTAAGGCAAAATAATATTCTAGTTAAGATCACAGGTTTTAGAATCAGACCTGGATTTCAGGAACAGGACCATCCACTGGCTGGATGACCTTGGACAGTCTACTCATTCTCTTTATTATCTATTAAATGGAGCCTTTAATCCTCTGAGGATTGTTGAACAGAATTAATTCAAATATATGTAAAGCGCTTTTGTTTTTTTTTATTGTTTTTGTTTTTAAGACAGGGTTTCACTCTGTCACCCGGGCTAGAGTGCAGTGGCCTCATCATAGCTCACAGCAACCTCAACCTCCTGAGCTCAAGTGATCCTCTTGCCTCAGCCTCCCAGGTAGCTGGGACTATAGGTGTGAACCACCATGCCTAGCTAATTTTTCTATTTTTTGTGGAGACGGGATCTCAGTCTAGCTCATACTGGTCTCAAACCCCTGGCCTCAAGTAATCCTCTGGCCTCAGCCTCCCAAAGTGCTAGGATTATAGGAATGAGCCACCGCACCTGGCCTAAAGTGCTTTTGCTTGGTGTATTGCACATGAAATGTTGTCAGTATATGATAGTTATTAATAACTTCTAAAGCAGTCCTATTTGGGCACAAATTTGCATTAAATATTTAGTGAGTGATAGCCAGCATGGTGGTGCACACCTGCATTCTCAGCTATTCCAGAAGCTGAGCCAGAAAAATTGCTTGAGTCCAGGAGTTTGAGGTTGCAGTGACCTATTATGATGCCACTGCACTCTAGCCCAGGCAACAGAGTGAGACCTTATCTCAGAAAAAAAAAAAAATTAAATATTTAGTGAATGAAAGAATGAATCTAAGATAGTAGTTCTCCAAGTTTAATGTGGGAACTTAAAAGTCAGATATTCTGATTCAGTGATTCTGATTTCTGGAGGGCTCCAGAAAAATTTGGATTTTAAATAGTCTAGGGGATTTTGATGCAGATGATTTGAGGATCTGGCTTTGAGAAATACTGTATAAAGTATCAAACAATTTTTTATTTTTCTTTCTTTTCATAAGGTTGAAATAACTAAGTATATCAGGTGCTGAACAAATACTTTTTTAAAGCTTAATAGCTAACATAGCTTAATAGAGCTAACATTTTTAGAACCACTGTCTAGTACTGAATTTTGAAATAGGAAAGGTAATTAGGAAAAGACATTTTGCATAAGTAGGATGTATCATTACTAACTTAATAGTAGTGTCTGCTACTGGAGTATACCAGAACCAATGGCATCATCCGAGAACATTCCCTGTCTTAGGCCTCGGCACATTTCAAAAGCTAGACAACGCACATTTTATTCACATGAGTCTGAATTAATTAGCCAAATTGAACATGTTGCAACATTTTTCTACCAGCAGATGCCAGATAGCAAAACAGAATAGAATCTACTATAGTCTCCAACTATGACATATGATGTTACTTGGCATCTCCAAATGAACGTTATCAATCCAAATTAAATGCTCTGCTAGCATGTGGGCAGTTGCTTGAGTTAGAGTGAGCATTACTACTTTGTGTCTGCTGAAAAACTCATTCTGGGCTCCCCTTTTCACCTTCTTCTTATATTAGTTTACATTTAGAAATCTACCGTGCTTTGAAAATTCATCTATGAGTCAACCACAAGTCTTGGATAAGACAAAAGATAAAAAATTTTGCCATTATTCCTGTCATTCCCACCACCCCCACTCACAACCTGCACTAGGCAGATTGAATTTACTTTAAAGGAGCTCATTTAATAAATATTCACAAAAGAAAAATATCCTTTACATAAAGTACCCTTTACTGTTCTTTACTATAATTGCTTCTGGTTTCTCCTTCATCTCCCAGAGATTGTTTATTTGCTTCTCAACACCCATTAATGATAAAATTAGACAGTTTGGTTATAAAGTCAAATGCCTGTAGTGGTTGGTCAAGTAAGATAAGGGGAAACAATAGGCAGTACTAAAGGCTGGGGAATTCAGAGCACATGCTTACCTAAATGAAGCGTTACTCCCAGTCCTAGCCACATTTTGCCCTGTAGGAATGCAGGCTTCGTGCTGCCAGTTATGTCAAGTGAAGCTAAAATTAGGATTTTATGTGAAATTTGATTTTTAAACATTGGCTCAAATACTTTTTAAATATCTAGGAAATCAACAAAACTTTTAACTGCATAGGACCAAGAGCCACCAGTTTATGACCTGTGTGTTTCTTACATGAAAGCATGATTGGCATTTTGGTTGAGAATCTCAAAATGCTTTAGAGATGTTTACTTTCTGCCATATGTCAGCTGCATTTACCACTTAGGTTAGGCAACAAGTCACTTGTCATCAAAAATTCAAGATAGATTCTTAGGTACAACAAGCCTCTATTCCCTTGATTACAATTTTAAGGATT